TACGTTTCCAACTTTTTATAAAGTTTTTAAACCGTTGTGTATATACAATACAATCATGCAGAAATACTCCATATAATATTAGTATATATATATCCGAGTACTACGTAATAAAGTATGTGTGGTCGATTAGTTTTGAAGAGTGTGTAAATAAAGAACGACAAGCATTCCGAGAAGCGAATCTATTGGAGAAAGGGAGAAGTGGGACCCCATTCCGGCGAATTTGTAAAGTAAATTAATTTACAAATACTACTAGTATAAATGTTCTTCTTTAGTTTTATACATTCTTCTTTGGTATATCCGTATAAAAAGATGGTAAAACTTTATCACTGAATCGTTTTTATAGCTGTTAGAATGTTGTGTACCTCGATACATACTACATTTTTAAATATTTAGGTTTGAAGATTAACACATTCGAAATTCTTGGATGATTTCTTATGATTAGACAAAACTAAAATGGTTTAATTAACGTAAGTTGACATATAGTACTTTGAATTCTAGGGAGAATGATAATCATTTTCACTTGATAACAACTATGAGGAAGAGTAAAGGACACACACACACTATTTCTTGACTGCAAAAGTCTCTCGTAAAAGTGAAAGCTATCACGCACTCATAATAAATGTTCTGACAGTCTCGATAAACGTGGTAACATTTCTCATTATTACCTTCCCCAAATTCTCATTTCAATTTTCTTCTGTTTTACTACAAAAATTATTTAAATAATTTTCTTTAATGCAAACCTTTTCCTTGAAAAATCCATAAAAAGCACTTGAGAGAAGAGAAGTGAGAAGCAGATTCAGTCTTGCTCCATCAATGGCTTCAATCAACCTCTTCCACATTGCTTTTCTTCTTCTTCTCTCTCACTACGCTTCAGGTTTTCACATACCCACCTTCTCTAATTTTAATGGCTTTGCTTCAACTAATTGAGTTGCAGATTTCTAATCTCATTTTGGCTTTATGTGTTCTTCTTTCTTTGTAACCACAGCTTCAACGGTAATATTCTACAACAAATGCAGATACCCAGTGTGGCCTGGAATCCAACCCAGCGCCGGCCAAAACTTACTCTCCGGCGGTGGATTTAAACTTCCGGCGAACAGATCCCACACTCTTCAACTCCCACCACTCTGGTCCGGCCGCTTCTGGGGTCGCCACGGCTGCACCTTCGACAGTTCTGGCCGTGGCCGTTGCGCCACCGGAGACTGTGGCGGTTCTCTCTCCTGTAACGGAGCCGGCGGTTCACCTCCAGCNACTCTCGCCGAAATCACCCTCGGCACAGAACTAGACTTCTACGACGTTAGCCTCGTCGACGGGTCTGTAAATTTTACTTCCTTTCTCCGAATTACGACATAAATTTTCTTCCTTTTTCACAACTCTGCTTCCTTTTCTCCGAATTCCGACGTAAATTTGCTTCCTTTTTGATGTTTGTGTGTGTT